GGCATGTGGAGGGTGGGGGAGTTGTGCATGTACAAAGGGGAGCGGAGGAAAGATCTGTACCCTAAAGTTTATTTTTCAGTGTAAAATGTCCTTTTTTTTCCTTTTTCTGACTGTAGACCTAATTAGATTGTAATATATAAACGATGTAGTAGCTAGGGTCATGTCTGGGAATTAGTGTGTGGCGGAAGGATATGGTGAGCATTGAGAAGGAAAGAGTATAACTTGAGGTTATACTCAAGTTATCAATGTAAACGTCATATCAGATTTTGTTTCCTGTACTGTCATACGTTACATTTAGAAGTTTAGTCAGTGAATTAAAGATGGGAATTGTGGGATAGGGGGTGGGGTAATTTGTTAAGGTCTTACATCAACTTCACAATGTCATATATTTAGGATGTTTTGCCAATGCATTAAGATGGGAACATGGCTAGGTGGTGAGGGTAATTTGTAGGGGGTTTACTTCACCTTCGAAACCCGATATTAGATAGGATTTAGGTGTTTTGTGATGTACACCGACAGTACTCGGCCTATAATATGCTTAGAAAGAAAATTACATTCCGATTCAGATTCATTTATTCGTCATATAAAGGCAATATGAAATTATTTCTACGTATGTGTTAGCCTCAAGATGAGAGATTTTGCTTAGCTAACTTAAAATGAACGATTCCGTTGTCCTTTTCTGCGAGTACTGTGCGCATTCGTTTCTGCGACTACGTTGTTCATTTCCGCGTGTAGGTTGTTCGTTTCTGTGAGTAGGCTGTTTGTTTCTGCGCGCAGGTTGTTCGTTTTTGTAAGTAGGTTGTTCGGTTCTGCGAGTAGGTTGTTCGTTTCTGCGAGTAGGTGTTTGTTTGTTTGTAACTGTAATTTTGGTGGCGATTGCCTTCCAAAGGCGTAGTCAAAACGAAAAATGCCTAGTATCCCTTCGGTTTCTAATTGTATCAATTTATCAGAAACTTTACTCCTTAAGGCCTATTGTAGTCGTCGCACACGTCGTCGAACTGTCTTTCAGTTTATGAATGAAACCTTTAATGTGACTTAATCCAGAAGCAAATGTTAGGAAAAAACATACTCTTAACATCATATTCCTCCTTAACAATGGTAACTAAGCATGACAATGTTACCTGTAAGCCTAGAACATGAATCACAATTTTACCAATTAAAGATGTTCCTGTCTGAACTACATTGATTGTAAAATGCATGTATTTAGATTTATACGTTAGCTTAGTTTGAAAACACCCTATAACTTCTACAGTACTATTTGTATAGGTTGACATTTTGTATGCTACTTACGCTTAAAGCTTCTGGTAAAAATGCATTTCATACCATTTTCACATTCTTCACCTGAATGTTGCAAAATAATATTCTTTTTTTCGAGTCTGGTCTGGTACTGTTTCGCATATCAATACTTGTACCTACTCAGTCTCTGAAAATTGTGTTATCATTAATCTGCTCTACTTTTCTGACTTTTTTTTTTTGCAATTGGTCACTTCTGGACTGGACATTTGTTGGTTACACATTCGCTTATAATGTCCCTTTTCCCGCAAGCATGACATTCTTACGATAGTGCTGGACATGAAGAACCATTTGCAAGATGATATGATGATCAACAACGGAAACATTTTGACTGCATTTTAACAACCTTGTAACATTTCACGTAGTGTCTGAAATACGGGAACATACAGCACTCTTATAGTGCACAGCCATCGATTTTGCGTCCCGTGCAGCCTGTTCCGTCTGCAGTGAAATGCGGGTGGCTTTATCTAGTGTCAAACCAGTCTCAAGTAACAATCGTTTACGCAGAGTTAGTCTTTTTAACAACTTGATCTCGAATCATTTTATCATGAAATGTAGTAAATTTACAGGTACTTGCCAATTCTTTTAACATAACTACGTAAGATTCGATCGACTCACCAGGCAATTGGCCACTCTGTCGAAACATGTAGCACTTTGCCACCACGTTCACCAGGTAGAAAATGACGATCTAGTGCTATCAAAGCACTCTTGAATTTATCGTGCTGTTCAGCAACTACATCATCACCACTACCACCCGCGGCCTGAGCCTCTTTCAGTGGTTGGAGATACGTCTGCGTCCAAAGTGTAAAATATCCGATGCCCTTCAGCACCCAGGAATGTAACAGTAAAACCTTTCGTCGTGCTGAAGGGGCCGTATCGAGATCGCACGCAAGTAATCAATTTCCGAGCAGTTCATTCCATTGCTGCCGTTTAATTGTAGGCTCGCCAGGATGGGCTAGAAATACTGGTTGACCAGCTATATTCTTCATTTTTACGAAAAGTTGTATGGCTTCTTATAAATGATATTTACCTTGTCGCCATCTGTTATGTCTGAACATTGGACGCAAATAACAGAATCAACACTGAGTTTGTATCAACAACTCCATCTTTATTCATTTATTCTCTCTCTACCTACCTCACTAATCTCTAACTCTTCTCATGAACATCGTTTTACGAACACTAAACACCTTTTCACTAAACAATAAATATCGGCTATTAATGATGAAATAATCTCTCTTCAACAATGTGATATGCTATTAACAGGATATCTAACTATATATTGTGACAACAATAATAACACGTTTAACACAGTAATCGCCATTACTGAAGTGCTGTCTTTATTCAACTCTAGAGGACAGCATGTCTGCTATTAAACATTACATCTCTCCCTTTCTTTAGTTTGCTATTGCAGGTCAATTGAGTATGTTGTTTTTTTTTCTTTTTTTTTCTTTTAACTATCAACACAATAAAACTCAAAAGAGATGCTAAAACTTTCCTTTGGCTAAGATCATTTACCTTCTGTATTATAATATTTTTTTCCCAATAAATTGCAACTACATTGAAAACTGAGCTTAGGTGTTATGTGTTTACTTTATCCATGGTGATATAGTCTGTTCACTTCAATTTCTGTACACTATAATGAATTGTTATAGTACCTTATTGAAACTCAATGGTCAAATGTTTCTAACACTAATAACACTAACACTAACAAATAATTTTATATATTTTTATGAACTCAATAACTTCAAATAATATTTTACTTCAGTAATATCAGATTCTTCAGCTTTTCTCTTCTTGTCCGCGTTTGCTTTAATTTGTCGTTTTTGCTTTTCATCTTGCGTTCTCATTTGCTTTGGGTCAAATATAGGCTGACTGACTTCCGACATGGGAAATTTTGCTCGAATTGGCCTTCCAAATAACGTAGTCGCTGGTTGAACTTTGGTCGTACTGTGCGGAGTAATTCGATAATTGCGAAGAAATGCATGCATCTCTTTCTGCCAATCGGTAGTAGTATAGTAGCACCTTGTTGAACGTTTTAACAAATCGTTCAGCTTCACCGTTCGCTTCTGGCCATAACGAAGTCACCTTTCTGTGTTTGAAACCAAAATTCAGAGCAGACCGCTGAAAGTCATTCCCATTAAAAGGAGGACCATTGTCTGTTTTGACAATTGAAGGTATCCCAAACATAGCAAATACCTTGTCCAACCTCGGTATTACCACTTTTGCAGAAGTGGAATGGACTATTTCTACAACTGGATAGCGCGAGTAATCATCTACTATAATCAAAACATATTTAGAGCCTATCTCTGCAAAGTCCAAAGCTTATTTCTTGCCACGGTGCTTTGGATAGCTCAGTCATACGTAGTGGTTCCCTTGGTTTCGAAGCTGTGGCAATCTGACACATTCAACACACTTTTTGACGGTATTTTCACACAATATGTCCATTTTCGGAAACCATATCTTATCACGTAGTAACAGCTTAGTTTTAATGATTCCCTGATGACCCTCGTGCGCTAATGCAACAACACGATCCGTAAGCCACTCTGGAATAACGATTCTATGACCGCGTAATATGATATCATTGACAAGTGTTAATTCGTCTCTGTCATCAGTCCATGCACCATGCGACTGTGTCAATATAGCGTGCTTGACTGCTTGTAATACATTATCTGTACTTGTCGCTTTCGCTACCTTATCAATGGATAATGCATACTGGCATAGACGAGTTAAGTGTATATACAGCCTGACGGTCACCTGAACGGCTTACAAAGTCATCAGTGTTGTCAATATCATGTGCCTCCACATATCTAGACACATAGTCAGCAGGATTGTCTTTTCTTTTTTCATAATATACCACAAAGTCGAAGTCTCCAATTCTCGATTCTGATTGATGCTTCTGATCTCGCATTGTTGAATATTGCCAACAGTGGTTTATAGTCTGTGACAATTGCGAACTGCTTACCAAGCACATACATGCGAAAATGTCGACACGCCAATGCTATCGCCAAAGCTTCGCGTTCAATTTGCGAATAACGCGTTTCGACTTTAGATAATGTTTTGCTGCCATATGCAACGACGTGACCTTCTTGTGTCAATACGGCGCCCAATGCATGTGGACTTGCATCAACAAATATAGTTGTGGCTTTATTTGGATCAAAATAAGACATAACAGTGTCTGTTGTTAATCGAACTTTCAACTCATCCAACGCTTTCTGTTGAGCTTCTCCCCACTCAAATACAGCATTTTTCTTTATGAGCTTTAACATAGGTGCAACTAACTCTGCATATCCTGGGATGAAACGAGAAACATAATTACTCATGCCTAGTAGACTACGGCATTCACTCGCACTCTCAGGTGGTTTCGCAAACTGAATTACTTTGACCTTGTTGGGATCGGATGTCATACCATTTGCACAGACCACCATTCCAAAGAATTCAATTTTCGAATCTCTTGAGCAATTTGTCCAACGATATATTGTGACTGGCCATATCTTTACCATACACAATTATGTCATCACTAATATTCTTTACATTCGGAATATCAGCTATTGTGGACGCTATCACATTTTGAAACTTCTCTGCTGCTGCATTTATTCCAAAGCTTAATCTTTTATATCTTTATTAAGCCTTTGTGTGTCGAAAATGTTGTGATGTATCGCGATGATTCATGAAGTAGGAGCTGATGATACCCATAATTCAAATCAATCTTACTGAAGACAGTCGCACCATTTAAATCGTGTTATTACTTCATCAATAGTGGGCATCAGATGTCGTTCGCGTGAAATGGCCTTGTTGGCTGCGCGCATGTCTACACATAAGCGCATACCTCCAGGTTGCTTGGGTTTCGAAACTAACACTATCGGGTTGATCCATGGGGTAGGACCAGTGACAGGTTCAATTATGTCTTGGTCTAACAAATAATCTAAACATTCACTTAGGTTTTTTCTTTGGTGAAAAGGAATTCGTCTGTGTGTCGTCTGACGTACTGGCAGAACATTTTCATCAATGTGCAATTTTACAGAGGTATTTTTCATTTTACCTAATCCAACAAACAAATTTGGATATTTCTGATACACATCATCTGCTGTCATTTCATACACAATGTGTAATATGCCTAAATCACATGATGTTTCATGACTCAATATTTGACCAGCTGTACCCTCAACCACAATAAACTCACTCTTAATTAGTTTATCTTTGTACTTTAGGTTAACATCAAATTTACCTATGACAGGTAATGGTTTAGAGGCATTAAATGCAAACAACTGTTTGGAACATGGCTTTAAGTTGGCCTTTACTAAACGTGCTGTATTACTATTCATCACATGTACAGTCGAACCTGTGTCCACCAACACTTTACACCTTTGACCATTGACTAGAACACTAACTTCAGGTCTGTTTTTCTTTGATTTATTATTAACTACAGTGAACATATAGCCGCACGCATGTCTACATATAGCCATCATCAGAATCATCTGAGGAATCAATATCCTGTGTTTCTCTAACAGTATGACCTTTGACCTTATTACCTTGTTTATTACGAAATTTCCTGGCATAGTGCCCAACTTTCTTACAATGCGCACATTTACGCCCACTAGCAGGACACTGTCCAGCATGTGGCCAGGTACCCCCACAGCGGTAACACTAAGATTTCACAGTAGTAGTAGTTGGCCTATGGCTAGATTCAGCACTCTTCATTTTACTACTACTTGCATTACTAGAGTTAAAATTTCTATCTTTATTATTTACATGAGTAGGCCTAGACTTATGTTTTACAAATCTCACACCTTCTTCGATGCCTGTTGCATGCTGCTCGATAATTTCCAATACTCGTCCTTCGTCGAGTAGAGCTTCAAGCGACATATCTGGTGTTTTTAGTGCTTTGCGGCGCAGTCGTTGTGACCCACAACACTGAATAATTTTCGAAACCCAAGCAACCTGGAGGTATGCGCTTATGTGTAGACATGCGCGCAGCCAACAATGTTGGCGGCAACGAAAAAATGTTCTAACTTTTCAACCACTTCTCCCAACCTTTTGGCGGTGTTACCCTCTCCATGCACTTCGAAACTATCAAAGTGTGGGATTAACTTGTGGCCATCATCTTCGTCGCCAATGTGATATGCTATTAACAGGATATCTAACTATATATTGTGACAACAATAATAACACGTTTAACACTGTAATCGCCATTACTGAAGTGCTGTCTTTATTCAACTCTAGAGGGCAGCATGTCTGCTATTAAACATTACAAGCAAGATATTGCTTTTTAAGAAGCGATTAGACAATTATATTCTAAATATATAGGAAAGGCTCAATTTTACTTTAAAATATACTTCAAAAACGGAAAACCACTATCGTATTGATAATACGCTATATTTACATTGTTGATGTAAAAGAAATGTGTTGATGTAAAAGAAAAAAAATTATAATATTTTTATGCAAAGTTGAATCATCTACTTCAAAGTAAATCAAATAAAATAAAATATGCAATTATTTTCCATACAATACATGAATACAGTAAATAAGAATGCAAATTGAAACAAATACATTGTACTACTTCAGTGATTATACTAGGCCTACTACTAATTATGAATCGTTGGATTGTAGGTTGATAAGGAATTGAAGTCTGCCTGCAATATCGCAGAAAGTTCATTCTCATTATCATCGGTGTCTTCAACGTTGGTGCTAGAAAGCTCTTGTGAATCAATCCATTTTCCCCAGATGCTTTCCTTGATTTTTTTCAGTAGGTCAACTGTAATTGTTTAAAAAAACAGAACACTGAATTTATTATGAATGTATTCTCAATTGCATGATTTAGTATTTATAGAAGATTTTGATCAAGGTAAAAGAAATTGAAATCTTACCAAAAACAACAAACACAATGGAAAGGTTGAGCACCAAAAGAATAAATGGTGTAATGTCATGAAGGACAAGTATAGTCTCGTCTACAGTGTATACGGACTCTCCGATGTCAACAATTGCACCAACTGATAAGTTGACTATAATGAAGACAAGTGTCAGTAGCTGAAACCTCTGATCTGATTTAGCCTTCATTGGTTCTAGATACAGATGCAATGCTATAAGAATAACGGTAATAAAGAGGGAATATGACATGCTGGAGGTTTGGTCGTCTTTGAAGTTGGCGATGAGAGCGAGTATAGCTTTATTATACATATCAATTACTTCCCAGTACCAAAACTTGTTGCTGTATTGCTTGCAGAAGAACCTCATTCCCATTGTTCCTGGTCGTTCGTCTTGTCGACCTGCCATTTCATGACGTTTGTATCTGCGATACAATACCAGGATGATAGCAAGAGGAAAACCAATTACATACACCAAAGAACCATAAGCAATATTCTTGTTGGTCTCATACGTTAAACCACCGTCTTCATGAAGGTCAATGGAGTAGTCAGAAGTTAGAACTTGTATTGTATATTCACCATTCGCGGTGACATTAACCGTACGGACAGACCACGGTCCGATTGCCATGATGCTTGAGCAAGTATTTGCGTAAGTCATATACAGCAACATCATTGTAACCGACAAAAAGTTGTCTGTTAAGTAATGTATGGAGTTTTGATGCTTGTACTTTCTGTAGATGTACCAGATGAAGAAAATAATAGATGTCGACACGATAATAAAGAATGGTGTTGCGATGGCAATATACAAATATGTGTAAGCATTCCAAAAACCTCGAAATATACACCTCGGGCTGAGGACATTGATATACCGTACAATATCGAGATACTGGAGAATTTGTCCAACAGATTGAAACGATTCTGGCCAACGAATTTCATTAACTGCAGATAGTATACCTAAAACTTGGTAAAAATTGATGGCGATTTTTAAGTGAATCACAAGAGAGTCGTTTCGTATCTTGGCGCCTGTCCTTGTTCGTTTATCTAGTCTCCACACACCGTAAGCAAGACCTATGAATGCTAATAGTACCAAAAGCATCACAGTGATTATTATTTTAAAATCTTGACATTTGTGACATTCGTCGAATAATTCATAATAGTCGGCACTGCACTCGGCACACAACCAAGAAGAATAACCCTTAGAGCAGCTTGCTTCAATACCTCCACCACGACAACTCTCAAATCGTGGACACAAATGGACTGCAGGGAGAAATCCTTTATATTCGTCTAAAATGTTAGGTGTATAATAGAATATAATATGAGAGGCATTTAAATTGTTAACAAACTGGTTGTACTCGTCAAAACTACCAGGATATCCTGTACCAGTATAACCTGTAAAATTCCACGACCACCAGTAGCCTGTCCTCAATTTCTGGTAACCACCTGTGCAATCGACACCGTCTGGACACGGATAACACGCACCATAACGGTATGTGCGGTGGAAGTTTTCTAGGCATTGACACGCATCAAGAGCTGCCCTGTTATCTGTATCGGTTCCAGTAGGACATGATTGACAATCAAAAATCGAAGCAGCTCCAAAACGAGGAGAAAATGTTCCAATTGGGCACCGTTTACAGTCAGTGTTGTAATTACCGCTTTCGACATATCCACGCTCGTCTTGGTAGAAACCACCTGCAAATATATTAACACAAATGGTTATAATTTTAGATATTGATCATGATGATAATAATACAAACAACAATAATCACAATCTATTTTATATATGTAGTATTATTCAATAACTTACAATTGCAATTAATATCTTTTATATATTAATTATAATTGACTTTCAAGTGCGGGGTGTCATTTTGGCTTTCATTCAACATTTAGAATATCCATAAATCATATAAAGATATTTATAAATAATTTATGTATATCCATAAATCATTAACACCTTAAGGACGTGATAGTGAGATTTTTATTCAACATCCATGGACGTGAGAAGATGATGAATGCAAACATCAATAACACCTTAAATAAGGTGTCAATAAGTTATTTATTCAACATTTTTAGATACCGGTTTTATGGATATCTATAAGTGATGGATATTTAAAAATCATTTATGGATATCAAAAAAAAATAATAATATTAATATCGATTTACTTTAATAATGTTTTTCAAGGGAGTTTTCTAAATGTTTAAAAAATAGTACGCGAAGTAAATACAACCTTTTTTACACATAGGGCTATTTAATTTTATGTGTGCAATGGAGGTTTCCGAACTAAAAATAAAATCTTACCAAATGGTCTCAAATTAACTGTTTTTGCAGGTCAATTTTCGCGCGGTTTAGAGAGCGGCACCGTATCAATCGTCAAATAGCCCCAGTGTACACATTCTGTAGGCATTACTACTGGCATATAAAATTGTGTACAATATTATTTCCATCCCTTGTACATTAAAGGACAATTGCATCCAATGTGCTCATGAGCACCGTACTCTAGGTAATCGGCTCCATATTATCGGAAATAATCGTCGTAATTTGGCTTACACTATGAAGTGACAGCATACAATGGTCATTTCCGTACCCGACCCGCCCCGGGTTTTATTCGTAAATATTTTGCACTTATTGCATGAATATATTTGATTTTTGCTGTACTCCGAGGTCACCCAGACATGGTAACATCCAACTGACTGAACACCATTTCCGGTCCCAAACAAATAGGACACTCTACAGAACACATGCAAGTGCCCCTCCTAGTTCCGATACCTCTAAGTTACTGGTACTCAATATTCTACGGGCTTTTGATTCTGTTCATTGTTGCTTTTTAAGTTATTTCATTTCTTTTCAATCAAAGATTATTTTGTATATTGGATTGACAACTGTCTCAGTCATAAGTCGTAATTACGTAATTCCTGTGTTTTAAATAGTCAATTCACCCCACACCCCCACCCCACCCCCCGCCCATTTAACCATTATGAATACGTTAATTTTATTTTATCACAACAGGCACAAAAGAATAAACACATTGTATTGGAATTTTAAATAAAACTTTTTGAAAGTAGGTATTTAATAGAATATTTTACTGGCCCTAGTAACTGTTACTCCAATTTGTATAAATCAACATTTTCAATGTTTACCTTAGTCATGGGTTGATTTGCTTATTTTGAAGACATAAAAAGTACTTTCATAATATGGAATCTCTTATTCAGAGGACATATTTTTTGGTCTAATAGTTGTCTCTTTGTTGTCAACATTTCTAGTGTATCTCCAGTAATTTAGTTTGTACCATTGTATAAAGAGCGCAAATTCAATTTAACTGTTCCATTGTAAAAGCAGTAACGGCAAAAGTTTAGAATAGCAAAAGAACGATATAAAAGCCATTTTAAATATTTATAAAATAAACATGAAATTTAGCATGATGCTCTTTGCCAGTAAACGAACAACTTTAATAAATCAGTACCTGGTGGGCAAGGGCTACAACCATCTTTCGAGAGTAGTCCGTAAAATCCGAGAGGGCAAGGTTCACATATATCTGTTGTTTCGTTACACGTCATTCCAAACATATCCCCCATAATGCTAAAATAGACATCATCAAATGTGATTTTTGATTTTTGAGTTATACACGTCCTGTAATAAAAAGACATTTGTGCAAGTAATGTTAATATTATACACGTAAGAGCCTATTATATCGAAACTTTGTCAAAATAAGAAACGATATAATAGCAATCATCATTATTACTACGATTATTATTATTATTATTATTATTATTATTATTATTATTATTATTTATTATTATTATTATGCCTATTATTATTATTAATACGATTATTATTATTATTATTATTATTACCATCAATACGATTATTATTATTATTATTATTAATAATAATCTTATTGCTATGGCCTAATTATTGTATAACTGTTTCTATTTTCCGTTCGTCTCTTTATGTTAATATTACTTTTTTGCATTCAGTGTATATTGTTCCATAAAACGTCGCTTATATGGAACAATATACTTAAGCAGTTCACACAATGGAGCAGTACGAGAAGGTACAGCTTGTTTTATGGAGCGTTAGCTAACATGTTATGGTACCGTATAAGTGTAGCGTGTTTGGTGCATTAGCACATATTAAGAGGAACAGTTCCTCAACGTTTAAGTCCTTGGATAATAGTGGTGCATTAGCACATAAAGAGGAACGGAGGTCTTTCAGTGTTTAAGTCCTTGGATAATTGTGGTGCGTTAGCACATAATATGAGCAATAGCTCAGATAGCATAAAGTCTGTGAATTATTGCGTGGCTAGTGGCTGTTCAATTGCCGGTAAGCGTATTAACCAGGGAACAGTTAATTTAACTGTTTCCTGGTACTTACACAATTGTTGGAGCCAGAGTAATCTGTGAGTAGTCCTAATTTAGTATAGTTGTGTAATGTACCATATTATGCCATGTTCTGTTATATTATTGTCATGTTATATTTATGTTTTGCTGGTCTATGTTATAATTGTAATAAGATGAAAACCTTTGATGAACACTAATATTCAGATTTATTCAACGCTAAATCTCCGAAGTAACAATTCAATCAAGATGGCGTATATCGTACCACCCCAACTTGCACGCTGAACGCGAGCGCATAGCAGCAAGTGAAAAGAGTGCTTAACTATAGAAAGCGTAATATCGTTACACCTTTCCTTTTTTCCTATTCCGACGGTAACATCTCTGTCATGATTTGGTAGGAACGAATACCAGTTGGCTTTTGCACTTAATATCTCGTGCTTGCTTAAAGGGTATCGTTTCACCATTGTGAAGAGGAGACAGATTAGTGGCACCTCTGTTGTAGTATTACGCTTGTTTTTGTCGATTCTTCCATTTGTTGACGCTCATATCCTGTATGATCTGCGGCTGAAGTAGATCATTGGTAATTGGTATGTTAGTCTTTGTTCTTCTAACAACCAAGCGTTGTGCTGGTGAGCTGTTAAGACCTTCTGTGGGCGTATTTCGCCTAATGAAAATGTTTAAGTAGAAATCTTCATGATCTTTCTTTGCCTTATTCATTAAACGCTTGCGAGATTTACAGCATTTTCCACTTTACCATTGCTCTGTGGATAGTCTGGTGAGCTTGTCGTTAAGTTAAGTTTGTAGCTCTTGGCGAATTTCGCTAACTGTTGTGAATTTTACGGTGGTCCATTGTCCGATTGAACGATATCTAGGATTCCATGGTTGAAGAAACGTTTCCATGTAGGTTCTCAATCTCTAAGTAGTCCGAGTAGTAGTCTACTGTACGTAAGTAGTCTTTCCCATCCAGTGTGAATATATCACATCAAATTTTACCCCACAGTCACTGAAGATAGTCGTGACTAATTAATGGCTCTTTCCGTTGGCTCGATTGAAAAGTATTGCATGTTTCACACTGTGATATGTAATCTTTTATGTCGCTGTTTAATCCAGGCCAGTAAACATACTCTATGGCACGTAAAAGTTTGCTTTCTACCTACCTGTGTATGCTGCATGAAGTCGCTGACGAATTTCAGATCTCAAGGTCTTTGGAATTACACAGCGTTGACCTTTAAAAACGTTGCCGTCCTGCGTTGCAAGTTCGTCGCGAATTTTGAAGTTAGCTGGATATTCGCATGTCAAGTCTGGCCATCTGTCGTGAATTTGATGAATGACTAATTGCAGTCTTAAGCCATTAGTGGTGGCTTATTGTAATTCTGTGCGCCCATGTTTGGATATTGAGAGAAAATCGTCGATGTGAATGCTTTCAACTGCTTCTGCAGTGGGTGACCTCTCCATATCGTCGATGTATGCACACGAGAGTGTGTCTGCCAAATACATTTCTTTACCTGGTTTGTACTTGATTTCAACGTCATAGTGATTAGGCCTAATGAGCAACACTTGAGCCAAGCAGTACTTTCTCGATTTGAAAGTATCGGGTTTCCATTGATGTGAGTGCACGGCTCGCATACGTAATCAGTCGTCCCTCCTGCATAAGAACGAAAGCTAACCCTTTGCTTGAAGCGTCAACTTGGCCCTCTGTAGCAAGTTTAGGGTCAAAGTATTTCAGTACTGGGGATTGAGTTTGCTTAATAGCTCTGAATGCTTTTCTTGTTCAGTTTTCCAGTTCCAGTTAGCGTCTTTGCGAGTAATACATCGCAAAAGTTCGCTGATATCGGACAGATCTGGTAGGAATTTCACGAGGTACTTTGTCATGCCAACCAATCTTTGAATACTTACGACATCATGTGGTTGTAGCATTTTGTTAATTACAGCCACATTGCTTGGATCAAATTTGAGTCCGTCGCTAGATAGAACACGTCTTATATTCACTTGGCTACGCTTGTACTCCAACTTGTCGTAGTTTACTTTGATATCGCGTTTTTAACATCGTTGCATGAATTTTCTGAATTAGTTTGATATCGCGTTCTTAACATCTTTGCATGAATTTGCTGAATAATCGCGATTCGCTTCATCGAGTGTGTCATCGCGTCCAGTGATGTCACACTCGAGATGTCATCGGCAATTATGAAAAAATCCATCTAAACCTTCTAAATTTTGGTCTAGTTTCTGTTGTTGGAAAATCTCAGGGGGCATTCTGTTGTATATCGGCCCCAAGGCGTCTGGAAAGTCGTGAGGTAAGATGACTGTGTCTAGTTCGCACTCTAGGAATCCATCTTTTCAATCTGCTTTAGTAAGACCTTCACGTTCGACATGTGGCAAAATGTCGTCGATCACAGGAAGCGGATATTGTCCACGTTTAAAAGCAGTGTTTAAATGTTGGGGATCAATAAATATTCTGATTTTCCCATTCGATTTGTGAACAACGACTAGTGACAATACCCAGTCTGTTGGTTCAATAACCTTTGTAATGATTTGACGTGTTTCCAAACGAGCGAGCTCATCCTTGAGCGTTTGTTTCATCGCTACTGGAATGCGTAGCAGCGGCATTGCCGTTGGTGTGGCAGTCTCGTTTGTTTGGAGGTAGACAGTTCCCGACATGTGTCCAAGTCCATTAAATACTTAAATGCAAATATTTTACATCTTCCGTCGTTGTTATAGTAGGAGTTTGCTGTATTGCTGCTAAGATCTCGTGCTGAACATTTATCAGTTGAGGTTCTTGAGCACTGCGTGATCCAATCAATGGTGTACTTTGGCCCTCGATTATCACAAAAGGCACAGTGTATTTTCTATTGTTCTTAGGATTTATCATATAGTGAGAGCGTCTTTTTTTACTCTTCTATCTTTAAGTCCTTAAATAAATATTTACATGGTAGACCGTTGCATGTTGCACCACAGTCTACCTGCATTTAACTTTTTGATTGTTAATCAGGAAAGTTGCCATGATCTTATTTGGAATTGATTTGACGTCATTGTCCTCTATTTTACCAATTACATCTATTGTCATGACTTCAAAGCCAGACTCGTCATCACTGTTTTTATATAAGGCATGAACGTTATGCTTACCCGTATGCTTTAATCTATGTTATGGTTTCTGTCTCGACACACTAATTCTGCATTTGTGGGCAAAGTGGTTCTGTTTGCCACAGCTTGAACAGGTTTTGCCATATGGAGGACATTTAGTTTTAGTAAGGTTGTGTGCTTTTCTACAATATCTACAGTTGTTTGTGAAATCTTCGCTCGAGTGATTCTTTTTTCGTTGATCGTGACTTTTGATTAACAGCTTTGACTTCCTCTGAGTCTGTGCTTGTTACATTACAATTTTGTCGCTTCCGCAGCTTTACAAAGCGTAATACATTTGTCTAGAGCATAGAGATAAAATAAGAATACTAGAGCGCAATGTATTCGATGTTTGAAATACGCAGAGCTGTGTGTGTGTGTGTACCATCCAAGATGGCTGTCATAGATTTAGCCAATCAAATTTCGCCTAAGCACTATCATTTGCGCCCTCTATTTACACAGAAAGTTCAGTACAGTCAGTTACCCGTATGTTTGAAACTCGAGCATTGCGGTGTATAGATGTAATGTACACGATTTTAATTTTCATTCCTTGGTACTTTATTTTTTAATAATATGCTCCACTTGGCCTCGTTTTGGCTACGATATCTTGTCAGCACTCTAGTTGTTTAATAGCTCTATGGTCTAGAGTTAGACTTGCTTCCTGTAGTAGTCACTTGCGAAATGTGTTGTCTGATATTCCACATACAATGCAGTCTCGAATAAATCATCGCTGAAATGTCCAAAATCGTATGACGATGCTAGCTCTCTCATTTTGACTACGTAGGGGAGACCGGGGTCAGTTGTTACAGGGGTAGATTGTTACAGTGGTCTTTTCCCCGAATAGGAAAAGTAGAGGGAGGTATAACCGGTGTCATATTATAGGGCGTTGTAAGATCCATCACCGCCGGCCATAGCGTGACGATCCGAATGCCTGACAGGAAATGAAAGTAAAATGTTTGTTTTTATACCCCAAAAATAAATTTGTCATGACAAACCGTTTCTGTAATAGCTTTCCCTCATGTAGATGGATAAAGAAAGTTTATATATTTATGTGAAGCATGGCCATTACCTAACACTTTCATAGGCCACTACCACACATTTCTGCCTACAGGCAGAACTATCTGTGTTTCAATATAAAAATAGCACGTGGGGTAAGTTGTTACGGGTAAGTTGTTACTGTAACAAGGATGGTAACATAGCGAGTGTACCGAAGGAGGCGCACTGTACACGTGCAATCATTGTAAAGAAGAAGAATTGGACATTGACTGTGTTGTTGAGTAGCTAAAATGCATTATTGTTCGGTCTTCCAGTTAACTATAAGGCTAGAATAATAATGTTGTCTCTTGTATACACTTTAAAGCATGTTTGTTTGCATATTTTAAACATTTTATCTAGTTTGTACAATATAACAACTTGCCCCACATGGTGTAACAATATACCCCGGACCAGGGGTAATTTGTTACAGTTGATCTACTTCATTAATTAATTAATGATTAATTAATGGATTGATATATGACAGTTGTAATTGCTTCGTTTTATAACCAATATACTGTTCTTGCATTAGAATCAAAATGGTGTGTTTGTCTCATTCAATAACGTAGTTAAGGAACAATATGTAAATTTGGTAACAACTGACCCCGGTCTCCCCTATGTATCAAAATTATAATATGCTTGTACGCAATTATTAAACTTGTATCTTTCATAAATTATGTTTGTATTTCCTTTGCAATGTTCTTCCAAGAGTGTCAAAATAACTAATTTCTGTCTATCCTCATCGGATTTATATGGAAGGTTGTCATGCATTTCAAGTGCATCTCTACCGATTGCAGTGATGAAGGTTGCAACTCGAGTCTTGTCAGATTTATCATCAATTTCATAGCTGTCCCACATCTGTTAACATTTTTTCCAGTTAGATCTTAAATCACCATTCAACTTTATTGGTGGTGGAAGAGGTATGTGCGCTGGAGTAGTACTAATAGCAGTGGCCATGATAGCTCACTACAAATTATCAATGTCAACCTGTGTAAGGGAACAGCAGAGAGTAATTTTGGTTGGTCAATAATGTACACAATCAAGTTCGAATAATCCAAACGATTAGAAAAATGTTTTGTCAAATGTATTTTCAGTGAATAACTTTTGAACCAGTTTAAATAGTAGTATAGCGTTTACTACATCCAGTGTACTCTACTAATTATAATTAATCTTAGAAATGTAACTGGCCTTTAGAGTCTACTGCTGCGTGAGGTTCGTATTCTGGATAAATACGCACCCTTGCTTGTTTGTCGTATTCCATGTTACGTGCGGACGATGAATTTCCACTATGATGAGTATGAATGACAGCTAGCTAGGCACTGCCACCTATAGAATTGTTTTTGCTTCCGTTTATCTTCGTCTGTAAATTAACTCGACGTATGCTTTAAAGTTCACTTCTGACACCATGTAATAAGAAGATGACAACCTTTGATGAACACTAATATTCGGATTTATTCAACGTTAAATCTCCGAAGTAACAATCCAATCAAAATGGCGTATATCGTACGACCCCAAACTGCAATCTGAACGCGAGCGCATAGCAACAAGTAATAAGAGTGCTTAACTATTCCCGTTACAATAATGTTACATTATTGCTATGTTATGGTATGCTTTGCTATTCTGTATTATGCTGTCAGTTATCATGCTTTTGTGTTATCAGGGAACTGTTAACAGTTAACTGTTCCCTGGTGTTATGGAGTTACATTGTAAATTTCCAGGGCTTCATTCAGGTGAGAAACATAAACCTAGATTCGTCATGGTGAGAGCCGTGCTTATGAATTCGGTGTGGATTAAAAACATTCATATGTGTGAAGATATTCGTTGGGGTGAAGATAATCTCAGAAACGTATAAGAAAACGGACCTCGTTTGGTTGAGAATATTGTGAACGTTTATGTTGATAGCTACATGGAAGTTGTTTCAAATCACAATAGTGCGTAGCGGTATACTCGAGGACTATGTTCTGTTCTAATTGGTGTGACGGAGCGAGAGATTGTAGTTTAAGTACCTACACATGTAAGTTCATAGAAAACATTGTCTTGATTTGTAAGCCAAGGAATATAAGCAGTAGAAATTAGATGCTTAATTTGTTGAATTTTTTACTCGACTCTTGACTCTTTGTGCACCTCCAAGCAAGACGCACTCGGTGCGAATACGGAAATTTATGACATTGGGGCTCATCTGGGACCCCTAAAATTGAGAGCCTATTAATTGGGAAGCTACTAATTCAGAGTCTAATTAATTGAAAGTTTATACAGTGTCAAGAGTCATCAGTATTTCACCACGTTTCCCATTATTTCACGTTATGTATGATTTTAACATGACATATATAGGAATGGTTTATCGATTGATTGTATTGTAATATCTACTAGTTGTATTGTAATACTGGTCGTTTGTGTGGCTTGTACGTAATTGTAACCATGGAGTATGAACGTCTTGGTTAAGTAGGAGAAGAGTTAAACTTAGAGGGGTTAAACTGTTGGCTTTCGTAAAGACGCCACGGACGATATTAAGAAAAAAAGAGGAGAGAGGAGAGAAGTATGGAAAGGAAGATATGGAAAGATATGTGCCTCAGGCAAAATGTGAGCATGAAAGACGCATAAAAGAACTAGAGGTGAAGCATGAAAGCGACAGTGCTGAGGTGATGGATGCTGTTAGTGATAAGAGTTCCTACGCATCTAAAACCTCCTAATATTAGGGAGGGTAAGAATGAAATTGATTCATATCTTATTCGCTTATGAGAGATTTTAAGGCTTTAAAAGAGGCATTGCTTTTCCAATTTCAGTTAACTGAAGAAGGATTCAGGGTCAAGTTTAGATCATCCAGGCTTGAAACTAATGAAACATATGCTCATTTATTTTAAAAAGAATTAGGATTTATTTATGGATTTTGATGGGCCATACTCAGAAGACATACGATGGTATTGCTGAGTAATTTGTAAGGTAAGTAACAGAGAGTTAGTGGTTTTCCTTAAAGAGTGTCATTCGGGAAATATAGCTGAGTTTGTAGATTTGACAGATCGTTATGTGGATGCACATCGTTTTAATTTTGATCGTAAAGTTGTTTCAACCAATATTAGAGAAAACCAGAATCGAAACTAGTAAACCATTTGGACGGAGAAATTGTCAACAATTTGATAAGAAGCCTAGGGGTTAGTCTTGTTAATCATGCGGAAGGATAGGACATATTGCAAGTGAGTCAAGTCCTAGACCCGACCCTCGTTTTCATGATAACAAGTATGTTGCAAATTTACAGATAACTCTAAGGCTTCTGAGACTAGAGTGGAAGCAAAGTTGGAAGTGTTTACACCTTTGGAAGTGGAATATGCTGATGGAACACAAGAAAAAAAGTTAAGCCAAAATGGTGAGTATGAGTTGCCTTTAGTATTGCGTGCACTAGTGGTACCAGGATGATGCCAGCTTGTGATGGATTTGTTGAAGGTCATCGTGTTCTAGTTCTTAGATCAGTTAGTTTTAACTGTACTTCAAAATAAAAATGAGTTACACAATTGTTTTGTCTGATATCTTATATGGTAGATACTTAATTTTATTTATTAAAGTTTTTTCTACATTTTGTATTGATATAGTCCATAAATAGCGTGGTGTTATGCTTTGCATAATGGTGTTTGGTATTATTATTATATATAAAGCTTAGAGGCTTTAAGCACGATGCGCTTCAAAAGACAGACATATTATTATTATCAGTATTATTATTATTATTATTATAATCATATATATATATATATATTATATATATATATATATATATATATATATATATATAAACGTTTACAATAAAAAAAGATGTTGAAATATCCTTCATTATAATTAACTTTAATTCAAAATAAACAGAGTTTATGAGTTACGCAGTTGTTTTGTCCGATATCGTCGACGGTATATAATTCAGATAAGCACATTCCATATACCTGAATCAAATAAATAAAATGAAAAATTATGAAAAACAAATTATTGGAGCAAGGAATGGGGAGTTCCAAAATCACTACAACACATTCCCTGTAAAAATCCACAATGTTGGTTTTGAAAAGAAAATAAGTACGATTATACATGTTACATTTTTGCATAAACAGCAGAAGTTCCCATGTTCGAACTTCCAACGAAAGCCTTCTGAAATATTGTCGATTAATATGCTTAAAATGAGGGAGGATTATAAATATTGTTTAAATGTGTGTGCGTCAAATAATAGTGTTGCATTGGCATACCGTACAGTGCGAAATGAATTGTTTCTAATCGGATTCAAACACCCAACGAAAACCTAAATGGCTAAGTTGATTAAGGCGTCTGCATGGACTGCAGAAGGGCCGGTTCGAATCCCGGTTGGGACAATTTGTTAGCACAGGAAGATTCCCCTTCTATATCGTATATTATTATTATTGTTTTGTTATTGCTATTGTTATTATTATTGATATTGTTTCTTGGAAAATGTTTCCTATCTTTTTGCACTGGGGTTTTCCGCCCGGCACTTTGGTCACTTCCCATGTTTGGAACTGTTCCATGCTTTGTCGAATGCATAGGCTATGTATCAATGATGCGCCTGCTAATAGTTAGTGACAATATAGGATAGGGTGTGCATGTGAGGACCAATTAAAGTGATTTAAGGGCAAACAGTCTATACCAGATAATTCAAAAACAGGTCAATTGATCTTAATGAAAGTTTTGGAATGTTTAACCAAATTACAAGGAAGAAATTATTATGTGTTTGGGACGATCCAGTTTAGGGTGTATATTTGAGGGTCATTTAAACTTTTGAGGTCCCAGACCTAAATATCTCTTTTAAAAAAATCAATGGGTATAATTCCAACTTTCTAGAACAGTTTGTCAAGTTTTTGTAAAGAAATGATCACAATTTTGTGACAATCCGAAGTAGGGTGTGGATGTTAGAACGATTCAATGGAAAACGTCCCAGACCAGATATTAAAAAAAAAACCGGATCAACTGCTGATGTGAATGAAATATTCAGAAAAGTTTAACCAAGTAACAAGAAGGAAATTATTATGTGTTGGGGAAGATTCAATTGAGGGTGTAAATGTGAGGATCATTAACATTTCTAAATTCAACCAGGTTACAAAGAAGAAAATATTGTGTGTTGGGCACAATTCATTTAAGGGTGCAAATGTGAGGGTCACTTAAATTCCTGACGTCCCAGACATAAATATCTCTAGAAAGTGTTTAATGGGTCCAAATGAAACTTTCTGTAATAGTTTTTCAAGGACTAGTAAAGAATTGATTAAATGTTTTTTAAAATCCGGAGTAAGGTGTGGATATGAGAACCATTCTAAGGCAAATGTCCCAGACCAGGTATTTCAAAAACAGGTCAACTGATCCGAATGAAACTTTCGGGAAAGTATAATCAAGTTAAAAGGAAGACTTCGTTATGTTGTGGGGATGATTCAGATTAGGGTGTTAATTTCACAGTCATTTAAATATGTAACGTTACAAAATAGTTTTTTAATGTCAAATAAAAAAAAATCAAATTTTGGTGACGATCCGCAGTAGTGTGTGGATATAAAATTATGTAAATGCAATTTCCAAAGCGTTTAAACCAGCTGCAGCTAGATTTATCTATAAACTACCGTGATATATAAATATATATATATACATATATATATCTGTCTCTTATAAGAAAATCTATAATTATATATATATATATATATTTATTTATTTATATATATAATATATATATATATATATATACATATATATATATGCATGTATGTATATGTGTATGTATATATATGTTACCGACGAAATCTTTGGTAAAAGATAATTACACACTGTTAGGCGCCCCTTCCTATCTTATTCAGTTATGCTCCCAAGCCTGCTGTCGTTCATTTCCATTCACATTTTTCTCCTCTACACTTTCATATTTGCTAGCTGAAGTCTTACGGTTAGCGCTTTTTTAAGGTCGCCGCTCATAGACTCTAGAACTCTCTTTCCATTAATATACGGGAATCTTTTTTCCATTTCCATTATTTATTTGTAGGAGCGGTTGGCGCACCGGTTGTGGCTTGGACTCCCAACCTTGAGGTCGGGGGTTCGAAACTCTGGCTGTGCAAATCGCTTGTGCTCTTCGGCAAGGCACTTTATCTACGGTTGCCTCTCTCCACCCAGGAGTACAAGTGGGTACCTGGTAGGTTCCAACACAACCTGCGCTGATTACTAGCTGCAATTTATGGAATGATAATATAATTTCATTTACT